ATAAAGGCATAACGGATAGAGCAAGATTGGCATTTTTGGTTTTTTTTTTTTTTTGTTTAGGGTCTAGGGCATGTTTATCAGGTTGTCTTAGGAGAGGAGGCTTTGACAGGCTCGCAGAAAAACTCTGTAAATGTTTTTTAAAAAAAAAATTCAAGGTCACAATGTATGTATGTGTGAGTTATCTTTTAGTACAAACATCTGAAGGAAGGGAGAAATGTAGAAAATGTTATGTACACACACAGAGCATCAGTAAACAGTGGATGCTGGATATAGGGTTCTTCCATAGCGCTCTACTAAGCATTGGTATCCTTGCAACTAGAGTGGTACTCCAGCTGAATTACGAGATCTTCAGAGGAATGATGGTGGTTGTGATTTTCATATAAAGAAGTGCTGAGAAGAGCCATAAGGTAATTAGGAAGCTGGAGGACTCCCCTGAAGGGAATATTACTGTATTGAATGGCTCATTTCACCTATAACTAAAATTGCAAAAATGTTCCCAAACATTTAGATGTAAAAATGACATAAGGGGAGAATTTACACTTGGTATGAAAACTGCATTGTTACTTTTGATTAAAAAGATCCGCGTAAAGGAAACTTGATGTTATGTATCAGGAAGAACTGGGTTAAAGAAATGAATGACTTGCAGAGAAATGGTTAGTATGTAGTATCATCCAGCTATTTTTGAAGCTTAACCAAGGAGGCTGAGCAAAACACAGTTACTCTAGTCAGTCTTGGAGTGAGGAGTTACTGGGTGATCTGTTGAAAGGGTGAAACTTCTGTCTAGCAGGATTCAGCATGTTGCAAAGTATATTTAAAAAAAAAAAATTCTGTTTAATAGCTGGGCCTGGCTGGATAGGGCATAATATGTTTTTGAGGAATGGCAAACCTTGAACTGGCAATATTTGATTTCCAACCCTTGTTTTTAGTTATTAAGATAATACTATAGTGCTGTTTTTTACCTCCCCATTACATCTGACAAGGTTTTAGACTTGTTGGTACAAGAACCAATTTGATACCAGTAGAGATCTGCTTATTTTTTATTATTTCTATATTTTTAAACCAAGCTTTATCATAGGTGGTGGTGGCATGTTCACATGTTCCACTCTCAGAAGTGAGTTGTGGCAAGTGCTGCTGTTAACCAGAGCGACTCCTGGCTCTGTGTTGGCTTGTGTTTCGCAGTTTTACGACCATTGCTGCGTGTGATTTAAAAGCTTTCCATTAAATCCTGGTGGTAGTGAGAATACTGTGCTTACTGATCTTAGATGTGCTGATGTTAGCACCTAAGCAATGCTGCTAGATTGCCAGTGAAACTGAAGTGATAAATACTAGTTTTTTTAAAGGATATGTGTTGGACTATTTTTTGGGTATTTAGTATTAACTATGTGAAGCAATGTTTGAGCTGGTTTGAGTATTAGGCCAACTAAAATAGGAGCTCTGGTATATAATGAGGTCTCTGCATTCAGAATACATTGTTGGGTGGAAAAATAATCTTAGCTTTTCACCACTGTCATGGTATTTTTATGGAAAATCCAGCAAATGTTATGGAAGAAACTTGAGTAACCTTGTGTTTTTAGCATCACTGACGTCCTGTTTTCCCTTCTTGGGAAAGTCAAGTCCATCACTTGTTTTTATGCTTCCCTTCTCCCCTCGCCCCC